AGTGTGGGCCCCTCACTAATTCCCCACAAGATTAATGACTTCCCGTATCCAGTGGGAAGACTTACATACACGTCTTTTCCTTCAAAAAGGGCTTGGAGACATTTTTCTTGCTCGGTATAGAGTGAAGCAAATTTGAAAACGTCGCAAACACTCTGAATTGCTCGATGAAAAGTAGTCACATTGACCGCCATTTTGAAAATCGGAGTGAGTTGAGACGAACCCCGAAAACTGAGGCCGAATACTGAGGCCGAATACTGAGGCCCTCAAAAAGAGTTTTCGTTGTAGGGGTGCAGCAGCATGGAACAGTCTGTCAGTTGAGGCTACGCAGGCCACTACCTTAAATAGCTTTTATTCTTCTACTGTTTAAAATTAATAACTTACTTTAAGATTTCTTCTTAATAGATTGTAGTTTTTAAGTCATAGTTGTAAAGTATTAGGTACTACATGTTTAGGGTTAATAAGCCGGCTCTTTTGAAGACCAGTTTTCTTTTAGTAATAAGGATTCCGTGATTAAATAAAGTGATTGATTGAAAATTTTGGTCAGCGGAAACCAGTTTTTAATTTATGCAAAGTTATTCCCATACACGATTAGCAACGGTAAATCACAGACGCTCCCTCCCCGATTTTTTCGAGGGGATTGGGCGGCTGTACACAGGCTACTATTTTACTGCGCGTTTGTTGAGTTTAGGTCGCTGTTTTCATCAAAATGTTGTAAGGACCTCATCATTCATTCCCACATACATTACCACTTTGACGCGAGCTGCAATGTACAACTTAGCAATACAAAATGGAATCTTCTCATTAAATCAACAATTCCCACTAAATTACTTACCAACGGCTTCAGGAGCAGATGGTCTATCCCAAACAGTGTTTCTTTCTCCCTCGGTCGCTTCTTGTGCATTGCTGTCTAGTTCTGCAGCAGCACGTGACGCGAGGTAATTGGCAAGAGCTATAAAGATCTGTTCTCTTAAGACCGGATCAGCTGAGGGCTCAGTGTTAGGGGGTACTGTAGTTATCACAACTGGGAAGATTATGTCGGTATTGAAGGCCTTCTTCACACGCACTTTAAACTGAGACAAAAGGAAAAATCAAAGTCTTAAAGTGATGTCAGAGAACCTTATTAACGTATCAGGCGTACCTGAGTAGGATAGTTACATTCATATGGGGAAGGATCGAGTGCATTTCAAGCGAGAAGTCAACTGCAGAGCAGTTTAGAACATGAGTTTTTATTCCTTTTTTAATATTATCAACTGCAATTTGTATTTAGGAGTTTAAATACTAGTGGGTAAAATTCATCATTTCTTAAACATTGTAATGCGCAGATGAAAATGTCCCACTGATATCTGCGCAAAAATGAGTTAACAAATTATTATTACTGCATTGTTTTTTCTTTACATCATTGAGGGGCGGAGCCAAGAGGGGCTTGAGACGAAAACTGGGGGAGAAACTATTTTCCCTTCCAACTTTCCCGCAGCTTAAAGCCGCTTCACCGCGGCTCTGCTACTCAAAGTTTCAAAGTACAGACAAAAATGCTAGGAACAAAGGCTACTGGTGGCTGTGCTGACTCATCGCAAAAAGAAAATTCGACGAGCAAAGGAAAAATTTCTGCAATACTCTGGCTATGAACTATACCTTCACATCTTCATCTTGTGAACTATGCACTTACCTTAATTGCGTACGAAATGTCAATGCATCCAAATCCCTTCGTCGTTGGTTGTACAGGTGGTATGACGAAAGAATCAAACTCGACATTGGTTTGATCTCCAGGTGCTAGTTCTTGTTCTTTCTTGAGGACGTAAAGCTTCTCTGTCACTGTACGTGTCGTAGCTAGGCAAAACGGCAAAAAAACAAACAAAACTTAAACGACGTCCCCTCAAGAATGAAGCTACCATACAAATGTCAAACCACCATAGTAATTTTTCAGAAAAATCAACAGACTTTCCACTAGGGTTTACGAACTTAAGACAATTTTTTTTTTCCTAAGAGTAGCTAGGAAGGTACATGTTGAGTTTGTCTGTCCAATAGAGAAACGTCACTGCCAGTTTTGGTCAGGATGTAGTTTCTCCTTGCAATACCTTACACTTTCAAGCAGACAAGTGATGAGAAATTAAAAAAATACTTGATTTCACACTAAATTCTCAGAACTAACATTAAATAAGACCAAGAGAAGATAATCAAGACCTTATTTTCTCTAGATGAGACATATGGCAGACAGTGTGAAGAATCAGTAATGAGATGTTGGGAGTTAAACGATTTTAAAAATATTTTCACGAGCGTGATACAAAGCACGGCACAGACCCGGTGAGGCCAAACAGGGAAGCCCCCTTTAATTTTTCAATGTTGTATTCCTTAACCCTTAACATCTGGGAATACTAACGTCACTATAAGCAATTCTCCATATACTCTTCTTTATTTATTTCCTCTCATACTGACGAAGGGAATTTGTTGAACAATCGAGAGCCTCCTTTCGTGGCGATAATTTCCTTCATTCCCGCGTGACCTTGATTATGAATTTAGCAGCGATACCGTGTGAGAAGAAAATAGATCGTTGTCACTTCTAGTGGTTAAAGGGTTTATTCTTTACCTTCAGGTGCCTTGTATAGCACTGTCTGTACAAGTTGCGCTTCAAAACCGATAACTGTTTTGCTGCTCTCGTTATTTACTAGTCCAGATATCTTGACCTCCTGACCAGGGCAATAAGCTAGACATCCTATGCGGGCTTTGGTGTGCAGCTGGCCCGAAGGGCAACATGGCCAACCCAACATACGATCTTCTTGTTTCAATCTTGGTTCCTGACGACAACGAATGGTCAGAGAGTAACCAAAACCTGGTAAGCGATCGCCTACATGACCGCAGATGGGTTTGCAATCGGTGATTTTCTTCTCTCTTTGAGACTAGGTTTACACTAGAGGAGAGTTTTCCGGATTCGTAAATGTTTCCGGATTCATCAATTTTGGAGTATTCGGATTCGTAGGCGTTTACACTGAAAGGATATTCGGATTCCTGACCGTTTACACACAACGACAACTCCGGGAACATTCGAAATGGAATGGTTACCAAGCCCAGTGTTGTTTCGTCGTTCGATCGACAAAGTGAAAATGCCTCCCCCAAAAAAGGCTAGAGTAGATCCAGATGCCACTGAGGCAAATTTGAGTTGGACAGATGCCAAGCAGTCTACGTCGTCGGCGATTAAGTGTGGCTGACGTTAAACTTCCTTGCAATAATAATTTGCGTTTCTTCAGAAATACTGCGGTACACATGATAAAATTTATCGCCTGAACCTGCAACAAGATTAGGCAACCGGAGACCGCCAGCAATGTTAGCACCAGATCCATTTTGGTTTCACCGCAAACTCAAAAGATTGCAGGCGGAAATAATATCCGGATTCGAGAAAAAAAGCGGTTACACGACAAAACTTTCCGGATTCAAAAGTTATCGGATTCAAAGTTCCCACTTTAAACTCCGGATTCAAAATCTCCGGAGACACGACCAAACCGGGAAGTTCTTATTTCGGATTCGTCCACTTTCGTGTAAACGGCAGAATCAATCCGGTACTAAAACGTTTCGGATTCATCACGAATCCGGAACAATTTCCTCTAGTGTAAACCTAGTCTGAGAAATCACTTTTGATTTTAAACATTCCTACTTAAAAAAAAAAAAACCAGCATACGCCATACACCTTTGCAGTATTTGCACATCTCTTTTGTACCAGGATAAAGGCGAATGTTACCAAAACATCAGCTGGCAAAGAATGAGCCAGCAGCGTTTACTTCTTCAGCCCCCTTTTCTGTTTGTGAATTGGGGGATAAGTTATTGTATAGTCATACATCGTGTTCAGGACTATAAAAAATTTAAGGGATTCTATTTTTTCGGGATCCTCGTTAAAGTGAAAAGATAAGTTTTGGTAGTTCCCACTCGAGCCATATTTAAAAGAGTTCCTACTTGGGCACGGAATAAATTTCGAGCCAGTACTTACGAGGAATTCTGGACTCCTAATCTGTACGCGCTCTACAATTACTAGGGGTGTGCGGGTATTGAGATCAATTCTCCACGGTCGGTCCACCACAGCATCTAACCAATATCGTACACTACCGTAGGCACCTTCAAACGACGTTGGTAATGGGGATACCGGAAGTGGGAATTGAAAAGGGAAATTGTAGTTTCCGGGTTGAAGCTTGATGTCACTTCCGGCTTGAAAAGGTGCTTAAAAAAATCAATAAAGAATTAATAAGACGTCAGTTTTTTAGTAAAATGAATGAGATTAATTAAAGGTAATATTAAAAAGTTTAGTTAATTTTAGGGTATGTTAAACACTGGCGATAGGCTGATGTAAGAAAGTAACACGCTTTTATTGGTTTGATTGATCGCCGATTCTCCAGAGTAGCTAGAGGTTTTTCTTCCTTTCTTTCCGACATTTGATCGGTCAAGCGCCGATAGGTCCAGAAATATAATTCAATTTCAACTAGTGCCTGAAGCATGTGCCTTCTTAGCAGACAGAGCCATTGAAAAGCTACAACCTTGTCAAAATGGTGGGAAAACTGAGCTAATCGTGAATTCTGTATCACCTCGATGCGATCAAAGTTTTTTTTTTTTCTGGTAATGTCACTAACTGAAAAAAGGGAATGAAGATGTTGAAATATATTTTGAGGTTTTAAATGTGTCCCCATTGTCATTCTCATGGAAAATCAATAAGAAAGAATAGTGGAGAGTCTTGATCTGCCTGCTACTTAATATCCACATCTGACATAAAACAAATGTCAGATAAAATTTTCCATGCTTTACTCTTATGGATGCTTCAATAAGGAAATAATTTATTTCAGAAGGAAATGCATTTGTTGCTTCCACATTTGAATTTGAAACTCTGGTGCTTCAAAGGAAAATATTCTGCATTTTGCATCCTCAATCATAAAAATGTCACAATTTCATTATCTTTCACAGGGGAGCTCATTAAGGTGCGTCAGAACAAACCGAATTAGAGTAATTTTCTTCAGAACTATCTCAGAATTTTTTCTTACGCGAGGGAGTGTAAAGCTACCGAGGGTCAGTGAGGGGCCTGGCACTAAAATCACTTCTTGGCAAAGGTGACATCATAGTTAACAGCTATGGTTTGAGCCCAGTAGCTACTGCTAGGGAAGGCTAATACGATCGCGATCAAAACATCATATTGTAGGTTAACGCGTCTACAATATCAAACTATTATTCATTTTCTTCAATTAAGTATAAGTTTTCTGTAACACTGTAAATGACTCAAAAAATCGGATTCTAGAACGAAATAAGGACTGTCCTAATTTGTTTCGTGTTTCTTAACACGAAAGACCCCTTTTAGCAATAATATTTACCACTTCAGGCGGATCGATCGTTTGTGGGGAAGGAAGCCTTTTAGTTGGCGGAAACAAACATTAGACAAACAACAGAACTTGGCCTGCTCCCGCATTTTCCCATCTGAGTTTAAATTAGCAGCTGCTTGCTGATACAAAAATGAAATTACGGTCGAATGCGAAAGCTTGCAAAGCTAAGGCTGACTTTCTTTGTTTTTTCACAGTTCGAAACCCCTTACAAACTGAGGGAAATATCATACTAGCCGCGGCGAAAAGTTTTCAGAAAAAAACAATAAGATATTGTGACCTCAGAGTAGTGTTACAAAATTGAATACTTTGAAGGATAAGTACGTAATTTGGGATCGTCTTAAGTCTGATCTACCCAATATATATATGTTTGCTAAGTTAATATGTTAAACTTTGAAAATAATCCATCAGAACAGGAATAACTCTCACCTCTTCCCAGAAGAATTGACTGAAAGCCAAGATAGGTTTCTCTCCTGGCGTAGGTGACTTTACCTGAACGAATACGCACATTTCCCACACCATGCAGCTCAACACGAACACCTCTCAAGGTAATTTCCTTGTTTGTGTTCAAAAGCAACACGCCAGAAATTGTATCTCCGGGCTGAAATACTCGTTTGTCTCCGGTAAGAGCGATTACAAAAAGATTCACCATGATTTGTCACTTCGTCTGAAGAGGTTTACACGAGCAGGTTGTTGCCACGTTATCGAGACAGCGTTCGAACGCTTTATCAGGGAAGAAAAATTGGCTGCCAAACAGAGCGAGAGATATGCAAGTATTGCGTGACTTCCTAAGAATTTTAATTTGAGTAATCATGCGTCAATGATTTGAGAATTTTTAATTTAAAACTGAGGTTTAACATTTATTACGTTTCAGTTTTATTGTGATTTACATCTAAAACACTTGTAGAACAATATTTATTTTAAAAAATATTTTAACCAAATGATATTAGATGCTACTTCGGTAACAATTTGTGAACCTAATTGAATCGTTGTTGATTGACAAATGTCAAACCTGTCGAATGTTATGATTTGCTGACTGTTCTCCAGTCCTCCCTCAATCTGTACGTTTGTCAGAGTATAACTCATGCCGAAGACTTCGTGATTTTTCGGAGTGATCTTCTCAATTTGGATAAGTGGAGATCGCAGAGATGCCGCAGAGTTTTACCAGAATCACAGCTGACGATGTCGAATACTATCTTCTCGTAGAATTGTTTGATCAAGGCAAAGGTGGATTCGACCTCACCGTTTGTAATGGCGATCACGTTTGGCGCGAAACAGGTAAATAGTCTGAAAATACGAAACCAAATAGATCTTCAAAGAAGGAATCCTCTTTTCTAAGCTATGGATCTTGTTAAGAATCTGGAAAAATTGCAAATACGCTTGCATCTTTAATGGTTAAGTAATTGGTTACTTTTGTCATTAGTTTAGTTTAGGTTTATCGATTAAGAAAGTAACAAAAAGTAGAGCTTATTACTCAACTTTGGATCCAATATCTGATCATTCACGTACTTTCTTTGTTTATCGATAATTATGTATGCTTAATCAACCCAGGCCATGTTAATTTTCTGTAAGTTAGTACCCTCCCCTACCCCATGGACCATGTTACCCCTCTCTCCCCCTGTCTGTGTTTATGACAGATGCAGTCGATGCAGTCTGCACTTTGCCAGTGCAGCCAATCATGTTGGCTGCAGTCAATTCTATTCCGGTAAAAGTCTAGCTGATGCAGTTTTTTCTGCCATCAACCATACTATGATCCTCTCTGGAAACTTATCTACATTTATACTTCAGAAGGTTCCAAGGGTCTTTTTCGTCATCTTTGATTACAGGATTACAGTTCCTTTTTGTTTTGTTTTGTTTTTTTCTGCTTCGAGATGTTCATTATGATAATGATTGTTGGCAGCTTTAGATGAAATTAAAAATGTGCCTCTGAACCTCAGAGCTTTGTGACCATTGGAAGGTGCAGTGAGTACTCTCTGTTTTTGAAATGAGCAAAGTTTTTTTGAGCCGTTGTCTTTCATGCACAAGTCAGATCTATGTACTCAAAGTGAAAATAGACAGAGCAGACACTGGGCCAATATTATTATGCATTACGCAGTCGACAGTGAAAAATCTGATCAATAGAGGAGGGGGGCTTTGGGATTTTCGGTTTGGCGGTTTTGACTGTTTTTTGGATCAGTTTTTGGGCCAAAAAGGTTCGGTTTTTCGGTTTTGATGTTCAGAGCAGTTTGTGGATTTAATGTGTCTTTGCATTCGGTTTTCGGTTTTCACGAGAACTCTGATGCAGTTTTCGGTTTTTCCTTTTTGACCCCTGTAAAGGTGAAAATGTAGTGGTTTTAATTTGTCTGGTTTGCATGCGGTTTTCAGTTTTGCTGCCTCTTTTCGTCAGTTTTTCGGTTTTGGAGGTTTTTTTCTCCAGTTTGGCAGTTTCCCAGAGGTCCCAATGCCCCCCTCATAGAGAGCATTCAATCGATGTACAACAGCCAGTGAAGTTTATATGATAGCCCTATATCTGCAGCTGATATTACAGTTATCATGTCTACTTAAAAGAACAGACAGAAATAACTACCTTTTTTTGCAGATTGTTTAAAATATGTATAATAAAACAATTATTGAATTTGTTTTTTGCGTGATGTCATGAGTTATCAAACCTTGTATCTGTGTTATCTGCCCCAGCCTTCAGCCTCAGCAGATAACACAGAGCTCAGTTTTGAGAATTTATGATATCTTGCTCAACCTCATCAAATAGTTGTTTATTAAAGGTAATCATGTTATTTGTTTTACCCAGTTGATTCATTGACTGTTGAATCTATGGCAAAAACTGCTGATATGAGTGTTACTGAATTTGCTGATCAAACAAGTAGAGCACTGACTGGCCAGACCACAAGTCAGGATAATTTCGTCTTCCAAGCCAAACCTAAAGGGACCAACTTGCAGGTTGGATGAAACCTTCAAGATATTTCATTTACCGGTAGTTAAAGCTATTTATCATTAGATATTTGTTACAACTGACTTATATGGAACAAAATTGATCAAGAAATTAAGCCATTAATTTTCTATTGGCTGCTCTGTAGAAAGGGTGAGTGACCAATGCAGTTACAAGATCCTCAAAGAGTTTAGTTATATAATTTTGTCGTTTGCAAGCTCAGTTTTATTAAAAGTTCAAGACCTTAAAACTCTTACTGTTACAAGAAATGGGAGGTTCTAAAAGAGAATGAAATGATGTAAAAGCTAAGCCTTTGAGATCTTTAAAATATGACGTGTGTGCCAGAAGAGAAGCAAGTCTCTTGCCATTCCCTTGTAAATTGCACTCTCCACTCCTGTGACTTGAATAGAGCAGGGAAAAAACCTTGTAGGGTATAAATGCAATGTTATGGAAACCAAGACCAGTTATGGTAGGATTCTCAGCAACTTGACTTGAAGGAAACTTTGAATGATGAGAAGTCCTGGTTTTTTTTTTTTTTTTCTTTGCAGTTCTCTTGGAAGATGCATGTTAGTAATGGTGTTAAGGTACTGAGGATTTCAAAAGTCTTGTACCAAGTACCGTTCAAGACCAAGTACTGTTCATAAACATCAGTGATGAGTGTATCCAGGGCATCAATCCTCAGTGAAATTTTCCTCTAAGAAAATTTCACAGAGGATTAATAGGCCATTTTACAGTTGTGTACTTACTGGTTGTTACCAAGCCTTTAATTTGGAGTAAGGCTGAAGGTGACCTTGTTGTGATAGACACCAGTATCTAGTTAGCATAATAACAAAGTAATTTACATTTGAAAGGCAGCAAGGTTTGTATCATAACAAGGTCACTCTTAGCCTTGCTCCTGTTCAAAGGCTTGGCAACCAAGCACACAACTGTAAAATGGACTAGAAAAGGATTAGATAAATTAAATACATAATCAAACAATGATTCTATAAATTATTTTAAATTTTATATATTTGCATGTATATGACACTTCATAAATTTGTTGACTATAGATATCAATAATTTTTAACTAAATTTATGTAACTATATACATAATTCTATCTCAATCCAGTTTCAACTGGGTTCTCTGACTTTAGCAAAAGTTAGTGAGGGTGTCCAAGTAATCAAGAACATGTTTGACCTGGCTGTGGACCAAATGGTGCAGCTAAGGGTATGTAATTGATTAATAGGTAATTTACAGTTTCAATTTAAACTGAAATTAATTAAGTATAAAATGAAAAGAAAAAGATATACACAGGTACTAAGATGGCATTTATTTTGGTACTCCTAGACTGCATGATACAATTTTACTTTCAAATTGTATGATTTGGTAACTTCCAGTTCGATGTTTAGAGAGAGGAATTGAAAGAAATACTACTTGAGACTGACTCAGTGGACAATTTTCAACCTTACGGTTTTGTTTTGTTTTGTTTAGTTTTGTCTTGTTTCATTTTGTTTTATTTTTTTATTTTTGTTTTGTTTTTGTTTTTGTTCCTTTATTAAGGACTATTATCATGATTATAACTATTACTGTCATATACAGCATATGTGATGCAACAATCATGCATCGTTATTNGAATAGTGGAATTGTGGGTTGTGTGTGCTTTTAAAGGCAGAAAATGGAGCTACGTTATTGGTGGGAACATGGCAACGAGAAAAACATGAATAAATTAGTGGAATGAAAAGCGTTCTTTGATCCCTGTGGGATTTAGACTGCCAGTTTGAAAGATGAGCCCCAACCAGTTTCTTTTGAAACTATCAGCCTTTAATCATCATTATTGTTGACTCAGTGACGATTGTTATCAGCTGGTGATCTCCACCATCATTCTTGTGATAACTTTACCAATATGACTAACCCCAACACTTTTATGATCAAATGTTATACATTAACTATCACCATCATTTTCAACCTATGGAAAGATCAAATTAAACTTACGGGCCAATTTCCCCTCCTCCCCCCTCCCAGCCCAATTAATATTCTTCACACGCATATTTAAGTTACAAGGGGTAGAGATACCCCTTCCCCCCTCTATCCTACCCCACTCCCTGCTATTATCTGAATACTGAACAGTTGCAGTGCCCATTACACTCCGGGGTGTGGAGAGACACTGTGCGGAAAGGGGCATTGGGTGCTATTAGAAAACACTAAACTGTAGAAAAAATCATCCAAAACTGCAAAACCACAAAAAAATTTGATCACAACTGAAAATTGCATGTAAAACTGCACAGTGGTCACAAGTGGAGCATAGAAGACAAACTGGAACCAAAATAGGAAAAACTGAAAACCTTATTAGACACCAAATTTGAAAACTTTTTATTTATTGACAAAAACCAATTGCTAACAAACAGAAAATCCACAAACTGCAATAAACACCAAAGCCGAAAAACCGCAGTTTTTTTGGCACAGAAAACCTAAAAAAATAGCCAAAACTGCAAAACCAAAAATCCCAATACCCCCTCTCCAAGTAAAGTGTGGCATACACAAACGTAACACAAAAATCAGGCTGGCCAGTGCTCAAATATGGATATATATGCATTGAGATTCCAGCACAGTAACATCTTAGCTATCACACATAATGTAATTTGCTATGACACATAATGTAATTTGCATTTTATGCTTGTGACATTGAATGATACAAAATAGCAAACTAATAGCTATTTGACTTGAATATTTTCTTGACAACTTGTTCATGCATTTATTTGTTTGTGTCTTATAGCAAGAAATGTCATCTTTAAGATCTGACAATGCCAGATTATCTTCAGAGAGATAAGATGCCTTAAAGGTCAGCACCTTTATTTAATTCTTAAGTTATTGACTGAATGATTGACTGATTAGTCAAAATCGAACCTCTTCGACCTAATATATACAATAATATTATTGTGAATAATTTATTAATTACTTTACTTTGATGTAACATTATATTTTCAGCATCTTGAGAAATCTGTCACTGCTAAAGAAGAATTGGAGACAGATTTATTTGAAAAGGTTTTTAAAAGTGTGATGTACTTTCATTATCAGTAATCTGGGGATTCATTTGGCCACAAGATCTTGTGGGTATTTCAGACCCTTTTCCTCTTCCCAGACTCACTGTCCATCATGTATTTTATGATAATTTTAGCTCTGTTTAAAAAAGGTATTTATATTATATCTTGTTTTTTAGAATAATTACTTTAAGGTGACTCCTATACTTGGCAGGGTTGATTTTATATTTAACTGGTAACCTTCCAAGTTAGATTATTTGTAACCAATTAATGGAAATTTTGTTTCAATGTCCTTACATTGATTACATAATTTGGCACAAAAAGGCCCTGTCATCATCATTATTTTTATCGTTATTAATATCGTCGTTATTGTCATTATGATCATGATCATGATTGTTATTATTATTATAATAAATTGTTATTATCACAGTTTGCTGCAGTACTAAATGACAAGAAGAACAAGATAAGGCAATTGCAGGAGCGAGGTTTGTTCACCCTCATGTTATTACTTTTAATTAGATTGGAATTTGAATCCTTGTGAAATAATGTCAATTTCTGATGATTTTGTTTTATTCATGCAAATGCTGCGCAGTAAAAGAAGCATCTGCTCCACAGCCAGTACAAGGTATTGTGGACATAATGAAATAAATCATAATTTATGGTTCAATTATTTCATTTAAATACATCACTTTCCCCAATTGGAAAATGAACATTATTTTTATGCCAGGTCAGCTTTCTTGCCTGCAGTTCATAAATATCAACTTCAAACCAGCGAACAAGGGATAAGTTTCTAAAGAAACTGTTATGCTATGTCATGGGAATATTAGAAGATAATTTGGGTTTATCAACTGAGTTGATCATGTGAATTGTCCACTGTAAAGAGTTTCTACAACTGGTGCTTCAAGCATTACCCCTTTGAGTTGTCAGAGTGGTACACCAGCTAATAGCCTACTCACTAATTGCTCTCACCAAACAAATTTAAACATTGACTTACAGTCGGAGAAGTTTGGAAAGCTGACTAATTTGACTAATCTTGCAAATTTGCAAGATAGGTCACAATTTTGGCTGTAATAATTTTTGTACTTCTCCCCCAGATAATAATGAAACACTACATTTGGCCAACAGAAATAAAGGAAAATCTAAAGGTAAAGCAATCAGGTAATGCTATACAGCACTTATTGTAGTCATAGTTTGGCTTTAAGAATGCATTTTGATTGAGTGCGATAAAACCATTACCAAGTAATTACCATTGGCTTATTGGAGCACAGGAAAGAACCACAAGAAGGTGAATTTTTCTGCACTGATCATATTGTGAAATAAACCAAAAACAAAGGCAGTCCTGGACTACTTTGGGACCTCATTTGAAAATTGCCCCTACTAATAAAGATGGCATACTGGCTTATGGATGATAATTAATTTTCACTTATGATGATTTTAATAACAAATTCTCTCTTTTTCAATTTTATCTTCAAAGGCAAGACGATTCAGGTGATGACACAGACATTGAAAAACTGGATACAGAGGATGTAAGCCATAGATTCTATAAAGGGTTATTTTTTTTATTCTGTTTTCATTTTAAATGATGTATACTAGCTGCTGTAATGTCAGTACTGTGAATTGAAATTTGAGTTTGAATTGGTTCTCTTCATAGTGAAGTATACTTCAGTAAACGTGTACTGTAATTCATAAAATAAATTATTGTAATAGTAAATTAATAGTGGTAGCCTCTGGCACCTTTCATTAAAAGTACCTCCTGACAGCTTTCTGAAGCTGTCATGGTCAATATCTGTGGTCATTAACATGTGCAGGTCTACTGTTCCAGGTTTTATAATTCTTGTTACTCATTCTGGTTGTTATTTCATTTGTTATTCTTGCTTGTCTTTCATCACCATGAACAGCAATTACAGTTTAATGTCTTGGCATCATTTTATGATACATTCATAAATTGTTTGAATATGTAACCTCCATCTCTCTAAGTGCCTCACCAACCATGCACCAGGGTCCTCTCTTCAGGAGAGAGGTGAACCTGGGTAAAAGGTTGCCTAAGTGACACATGGGATGGATGTGTATTATTTGTTTTCGTGTAGTCACCTGTCCCTGAACCTGTGAGGGGAAGGAAAAAGCAACCCATGTCTTTGTCTACACCACCAAGCCAAGCTTTGTTACTAGACAATGAAGATGAAGAAATTGGACCAACTGTGAAGAGGTAATATATGGGAAAAAAAAAAAAGCCAAAATTAGGTATATTCTCTTTATTGGAAGTTAGAAGATGGATAAAGAAATATTGAAAAGACTGGTGGGAAGTATCTGTAATGTAGAGAGGTGTTGAAAGAAATTCAGACCCTTAAGAGTTAAATTCTTCTGATTTTTCCTTACATTATAAGCCCTGGATCACAAAATAAAAATCACGAGAATGGAGGAAATGATCAACAACTAAAGCATCTCTTGATTGATAAACAATTTCTCCTTGTCAACACCTTTCGAAATGTATAGAGAACATAGGGAGAAAATGCATACTGGGTTAAGAGCGCTCTTTGTACCAAAACTACCTGCGAATTTCTTTGTCAGCGTTTTATCACATTTCAGGCAATGTGAGTGTCCTTCCTCTGTATTTTTATTAACTCCTTGTGATTTTTCCCTTGGGTTTGATGGGTGGTCATGTTAACTTTGGTTATGCGTTTAGGATACTCGACTGGAAAGCACTCGTGGATCAATCTGAATTCAGTCTGTTTTCTTTTCTTTTTGTTTTGTTTTGTTTTGTTTTGTTTTTTTCTCAGGCGCCGTAGAAGGAAACCCACGAAATCCCCAGCACCAAAGCTGATCCTTCCCAAGGTACCCTCGGTTAGGAAAACGCCTAGCAGTTCCTCAGGGGAGAGGTGAGGGTTACAATTAGGACAAGTTTAGATGTTAGTCCTGGAGGGACGATGTGGAACAAGAGGCATACATTTTGAATTTCATTCTTTAATATTTCCACTAAACTGAATACGTGAAAGTAATGTGTCAGTTAATTCTGTAGCGGTTTGTAGACTACGAGATGACCCTCCTTTCCGGCGAATTCTGTCGCACAAGTAAAAAATATCAATAATAATGATAACAATGAAAAGATTGATGTTAGCGCGCCGCGCGGAGCTCTTGAAGTAACGCGCATGAGAAGTAGTCCCAACTTTGTCCCAACTTTCCGTACACCTCACCCTCAGAGTTCTGCGCAGCGGCACCAACTTCAATTTTTTTTGCTGAATTTGTTTTGGCTCGGACGACGAACTTTGCCGAAAAAGATAGACTACTCCTAGTCCACGTAATTTATGGACTGTAAATCTTCCTTGTCGCTCCTTCAACCACTACCACCTACCCCTTACTTCGTACTGTTTTGACGACACAAACAGGTTTGAACGCGCGCGTAGTAGTCACTTGTTTTTATCTTGCAGTTTGACTTCAACTCGATCTCGCCTTCGTCAGCGATCCTCAGACAGATCACCTCCAGATGCGGAGGATTTGATGGCTGAGATGTAAAATAAAAAAGGATCATAATACATCACAGGGCTCATGAAACAGAGATGTCTCACGGCAAGAGATTATAACCTGTAATCTCTTGCTCACGAAGAACACAAATTGATTCAGCGTTGAGTTAACTGGGAATAAAATATTTTGAAACTTACGGAAGAAGTTTGTCATAATCCCCTGGTTTAGCTGAACTTCAGGAATTGAAACAATAAACACAAAAACAACTTCTTTTCCGCCCGTAAAGGCAAAGCTTAAACTTCTTAGATCGAGAGAGAGGACCTCAAGATTGAAACTTAGGACGAGTTGGTAGCTGCAATTGATGCCCAGTGGGGTGGGTCGATTTCGATACTCACTAAATTGTAATGGTCATGTTTGAGGTTCATCGTTGAGGTAAACTAACTTTTTTAATAGACATGAACATCCCGCTGACTAAAATTACAAATAGACCGAATGCGGCTGCTTTTTCAAACAGAGATCAGCTCGAAAATATTTGATGCAGAATTTAGTTACTTCCTCACACTCTTCGCTCACTTTTGGCGAATGTGCATAGCCTCTGAATGGGCGTCGAAATAATTTTTCTGAAGTGGTTCCTACGTAAGCATTTGTCAGAAATTCATTGATGTGCAGATTGATTTTTCTACTGTAATCATATTTTTTTTCCTAGTTTTTGCGCCCAACTTAGAACCTTGTCAGCTATTGCTACAAAAATAGCTTTACCCGTAAAAATTCTTGCATCGCCATAGAGGAAACCTACAGTAAGCTATGAACTCTGTCTTTGAGGATAGTATGCTTAGTTTTTGACAATCATTTGTTCAGGACCAATAGGAAACGATGATGTTGTGTTCTCAGTCCCAGTCTCCGTAATAATCAACGTATCGTGTTCTCTGTACCCGCCAGCTCCGGGTTTTCCCTCGGGAACTACAATCATTGGTTCCATGGTAATGATCATTCCAGGCTCCAGAATTGTGTCCACGTGCTCGAGGAATTCTAGGCCCCAGTCTCTTCCATAGTAGTGAGAAAGAACTCCCGTAGAGTGTCCGTAGCCAATGACTCGGTATTGCAGAATGTCGTTTTCCAGATAAATTTCGTTCAGGTCCCGTGCAACGTCACCGCAGCGCATGCCCGGTTTGACTAGTTCCAGGCCTCTACGGTGGACCTTGTTATTGATCTCCCAGAGTTCCATATGTCGATCTGATGGCACGTGATCAAAGAACAACGTACGCTCCAGAGCAGCGTAATTTCTACGACAAATAAAAAATACCAGCAAAACAAGTAGCGTTAGTAAAACAAGTTAGCTTGGATACACTGAGCTATAAGAGGCTTTTGGTAGCGTACCTATTGACTCGACAAACGTCCTACATACTCATATTTAAGTTCTAGGAGGCTGCAATGCTTCTGGACCAGGTTCGCTTTGGCAGGATTTTTTGCGTAATAAGGCGAAATTTCACTCTGATTCGATTTAGTCATCAGTTTTATGAGCCCTTTATGAAAGTAAGAAAACACATCTACTTTTTGAGCAGATACACTTACCCGGCTATCATAGGAAAGCAGTTCAAACTCAGAATATCCCCTTTTTGAATACGCCGACTTGTAGGAAAATTGTGGGCTCCGTCGGTGTTTATTCCAGATTGCAGCCAAGACCACGCTAAATAGATCAAGAACGCACGTGCAATGAGTAAAATGAATTGGAAGGAGTGTAGATATGCTCTATGCATGATGGGTAATACAGGAAGCTCCTTCCGTAAGGGGTATCGTTCTCAGACCAAAAGAATATCAGTTGATATTCTCCGGTCTCGGACGTAAAACCAGCCGTAGAGATTTTACGAGGATATCTGTCACTTAAGAAAAAATAGCTTTGATATTCACTTCAGTAATCAGTTGCTGGGGTAATTTTATTGGGAATTTAGAGCTACGTTATATATTGGGGAAGGATCTATCAATTCATTTCAAATAACACAGCATCATAAATGTTTTGTAGAAGATCACAACTAGAATTACTATAACTTACTATCTCTGATATCGATTTGTGGAAATGTAGCAGCTACCTCCCGCATCATGGTGCTATTTGAAGCGATCACCACTTCATACTCTGGGACACCCTCGTGTAGGGTCTTGATTCCTGCATACGCCCCAAGCTCTGCTATTCGAGAGCCTTGACGGACTATGTCGATCTCTTCTGGAGACTTCACCCGTCGAATTTCCATGGCTGCATCTGCTACGTCGACAAATTTGCTTTGCGGTAAGGCCTCTGAGAAACTATGCAGGGAGGCTCCCATGTCCGGGAACTCCACACCCACTGTGTTTGCAGATTGTAACTGATGATTTTACAAAAGCCGATAAACAAGAAAAAAATATGTATGTGTATATAGGAAGTCTGCGTTTCGATTTTTCCGTTGTACAGTGCTCGATACATTACAGTAGAGCGGGATGTATGGTGAGTTAGGAAAATACAAAGACTACACTTTCATGCCTCAAAGGCTTGAATATGGGTCGAACGCGATAAAAACGCCATTTTTTCCTAATAGTCCTCAGGAGAATGACAAGGACATTTAAGGACATCTCAAATTAAAGTGCAAACACTGATTGAATGAATTTTACTAGAGATTGTTCTGAGTGGTTTCGCTTTAATACAGGTGGGATATAATACAATGGAGACCACGACCGCATAATAGAGGTGACAACATTTAGGGATTTGGACAACCACCTGCTTTTAAATACTGAGTGACCGCTTGATACGGTGCTGCTTATGCACTTAACAATCGCCTTTAATCATTGATTGAATGCTTTTCTTTCTTAATCAAGCATCCGATTATCCGAGTTATCAATCGTATTCATCTTCTATTCAGTACAGTACCTGTTGTTGCAGGGCGTAGTAAAAATTATCCTTTCGCCAGTTGGTGTAGCTAATGTTATCGCAAATCCCTCGTCTCCATGGAAATCCATAATCGACAGCTGTAAACAAACAAGACCCATCAGTCTCAACAAAAAATGCTCAAAGAAAACTGCACTAGCAAGCTTCAAACTAAACAAAGTCATTTGAAGGGTTCTTACATGGCGTAATTGTTAATGCTTTTTCGTCAGTAATGACCATAGCGTACTGCCGACCCATGGAACAGTATAGGAACTCGCTGAAGTAATAAATGTTGTAATAAGAGGTGAACACGCATGCGTCAAGACCATTTTTTTCCATGTAAGTACGGATTCTGTTTAGACGTCGGTTCATTTCTTCAGAGGAAAACAGTGGCTTGGTCTAGGAAAAGATGTTTCATAAATATAAAAGAACACGAATCAGTAGAAATCAGTGCATAGAAGAATGAAAGATTTTTCAATGGCATTCGACTCATTGAGAGATAAACCGAGATAAGTTGGACAGAAAAACGGAAGAAGGACAGGGAGAAGACAGGGAAAACATTGTTGTGTCAGAGAATCAATTAAATACTAAGAAACAGTTCAAGTTCAAAGTTTCAAATAACCCATTTCATTACCTCATGTTGTTTTCTAGGAAAGCTTTTTTTTAATACTCTTTCGTTTCAGTTAGTAATTTCTTCTTTTAGTTACGCAAAGTACACAGTTCTAAAGTACCAGTCATTATTTATTCAGGGGGGGTTGGATATCACATCGGTTTCATGGGGTACGGAGGGGGGGCCATCGTTGCTAACAGAGCTTAAAGGGGGGGACTAAGGAAAATTAACAGCCACTTAACTGCTAATGAGGAAGTTCATACATATACCACAGAGCCTTAAAGGGGGATCGGGTAAATACTACACCCCTAGGATAGTCCTGTTGTTATCATTGTAGAATATTCTGAGGTTGGAGCTTCACTCGCAGACCTGTACCGCTTTAAAAGAAAGAGGGCTTGTTCAGAGGTAAGTGGCTGTTCATAATTGATAAATAAGCTCACCTTTCTGCCATTGTGAAGTTCGAGGGTTCTCGGGAAGTAATCGTGTTTCCCCCGAAATAAAGCCGGTGTTAATAGGTTCTTGAGTTTGCGCAGTGTTCTCATTTTGTCGAACAAATCTGTAAAGCAACCACATGAAAGTGTTTATGGCGCAATAAAAAATATGGGTAGATTAAAACAATAGGCTTAACTTGAAGTCCATAAGCTCAGACATGCGTACAGGGTAGGAGTAAATCTTGAACTGGTTTCGGTCTGCGAACGGTTTTTCTCCTCTATCCCTTCGATTTAAAACTCATAGATGAAACATCACAAACCGTAAATCAAACGTAAATTTAACTGTAATCTTTAGTAACGCTACCAGTTGTCCTGGTGAGCAATCTGTCCTTTCCAAGGGGCAAGCAAAGCAAGCCGTGAGAGAAAACAACAGCAAAGCATCGCTGCCCCAATCGCAGATGCCAACCTATACATATGGAGATCTAAAATCTGGAGATTTTCTTCTTGTGCCACCACAGAATCAACTCA